ACTTCAAACTATCGCCAGTCATGAAAAGATCCGGTCAAATGACACGAGTTTAGATCTATGAACAAGGCACGAAAAGGAAAAGAATCGGCGACAGGCCACATCAGGCCTACACTTCAGCGCCGACATCACTATGTTATGTTATGTTAAGGTAATCCAAGCCGGAGAAACTATTCAGCTGTCGTACGACACAACGTATAATTTGGGGGACTTTTATGAATCGTCCATGATAATGCGCCATCCTATTTTCGAGGGGGAGCCTTCTATTCCCATCGCCTTCTTATTGCATCAGGACAAAAGTACAAAAGCACATACGCATTTCTTTGCCGTTTTGAAAGATATGTATCCAAAAATGAATTCAAATAAGGTAGTGTTCTGCTCTGACAGGGAAGCAGCCATTTTGAAGGCCCGCTCCAGTATCTTTACCGAGATGATTCCAGTTCTCTGCTGGAATCATTTTAAGTCCGATGTGTGTGTTTAAGTCCGTAAGAGGTCATTGTGCGCTAAGCACTATTGGCGAGTGCTAAATGTTGTGGTCGAGTGCGGAGTGATTATTTACAGTGAATAAGTGATTGATTCACGTTATTTCATCACTCCGCAATCTATGGGTTGAATAATTTCTGAGATATAAGCGTTGAAGTAGTTAAACCATAAGAGGTCGTTTTGCGCTAAGCACTATTGGCGAGTGCTAAATGTTGTGGTCGTGTGCGGAGTGATTATTTACAGTGAAAAAGTGATTGATTCACGTTATTTCATCGCTCCGCTTTCTCTGGGTTGAATATTTTCTGATATATAAGCGTTGAAGTAGTTAAACCGTACGAGGTCGTTTTGCGCAAAGCACTATTGGCGAGTGCTAAATGTTGTGGTCGAGTGCGGAGTGATTATTTACAGTGAATAAGTGATTGATTCACGTTATTTCATCACTCCGCTTTCTCTGGGTTGAATATTTTCTGAGATATAAGCGTTGAAGTAGTTAAACCGTAAGAGGTCGTTTTTCGCTAAGCACTATTGGCGAGTGCTAAATGTTGTGGTCGAGTGCGGAGTGATTATTTATATTGAATAAGTAATTGATTCACCTTATTTCATCACTCAGAACTCTTTAGATTGAAAAATCTCTGAGATATCAGCGTTGAACCTGTGAAACCAGAAGTGATCGTCAGGTTTCACTTGAAATTAAAGGTGATTAATCGTTTAACATGTTTAAACAGAGAACGGGTATATCTGCCTCAAACGCTATGGTTCAAGATTTACGTCTCGTTTCTTTTGACACCAGTGTTATATATATAGCCAAAAAAAATCGGTGGATGAACAGTACAGTTTTAGCTAAGCTGAAAACAAAGAAGGAAGCATACCAGCGTTATTTACAGACTCGTAGCGATGATGACTATAACCTATACGCAAGAGCTCGAAATCAAGCTAAAGAAAGCTGTCGCACCGCTGTAAAAACCCTCGAAAAAAGTATTGCTAAAAATGCAAAAAAGAACCCGAAAGCCTTCTTTTTAT